AAAAGTGTTGATGTGAAATTTTTTTAAATGACAGGTCAATGCCAACTCATAAGATTAGTATTTATATTTTTAATTAAAAAAAATTCGATCCATCTTCTTCCTTTCTTTTTTCTTTTTCTTTCTTCCTCTTCTTTCTTCCTTTTTTTCCTCTGTGTTGCTGGGTTCAAGGGAACCTAGCTCAGGTTTGATGGAACCCAACTTGGGTTACACTGAACCCAGATCTGTTGGGTTCAAGGAACCTAGCAACTGAGTTCCACCGAACCCAGCTCGGGTTCGATGGAACCCAGGCTGGTTCCGTCAAACCCAACTCCACTTCTTTTTTTTTTTTGTTATATGTTTGTTTGCGAAGAGATTATCCAAATTGCAGGTTGTGAGGGATTTTCGGGATCCTTTTCTTGATATTTCTTAAGTATTGTCTAAATGATTTTAATATTCAAAATGGAAAGAACATCGCCGACGATGGAAAGAACAGAAGCAATGATCGATGGGCAAAGAAGCAATGATCGATGGGCAAAGAAGCAATTCTTAGTGGGTTTCCATTTGTTTGGCTAGAAAATTGTATAGTTTGGGTGTTTGAATGCTGAGAAAATGCTTTGAATCTATTTGGTTGCTAAGATTGGTTATCGAGAAAATTATAATGTCCGTTAAAAAAAAAATTTTGATGAGAAAATTGTGATTTAATTATAAATTAATTTAGAATCTCAATTTTGATTAATATAAATAATTATAGTTTAATGATACTTAATTAATGAAATTTGATTTGATATTATTTTTTATTCATGTAAACATTTAATTTAATTTGTTACATTATTAAAAAAATATAAAAAATATCACTTAATTTGCCTTGTCATCAAAAGATATCTTTCTTTATTGGTGATGTGGGGTCTATTTGAGTGGATTTGGACCATTTGGTGTCATGTCATCCAAAGACATCTTTCTTTATTGGTGATGTGGGGCTCATTTGAGTGGATTTAACGCCTTTGAGTCATGGTAACATGACATGTCAAAATGTTTATCCATATCATCAATTTTTTAAATTTTACTCTTCACATCATCAAAAAAAATATAAAAAATGCACATATACGGAGTTAACGGCTCAAATTAACAAAATGACTAATGGTATGCATTTCTTATAGTTGAGGAATCAAAAAAGTGCAAAAAATTGTTGAGGGATCAAAAATGTGCATTTCTTAAAGTTGAGGGACCAAATTTAGCATTTAACCTATTTTTTTAAAATTGGGCCCAAGCGCACCTCCCCTAAGCTACAAGGGGGCATTTGCAATTTCTTCCATTTTATTTTGAAGGGACAGGTTAATTCCTTCCTTGCATGCATATTGACTGTCATTTACGACTTTCTTGTGGATTCAATTGCTGAGGTTTTTAGTGTGAATGGCTTGCGTTTCAATTTATGTTGCCTATTAGCTATTTTCAAGAGGAAAAAAAAAAAGAAAAAAGAGAAGACATGCATTTGAATTGTAACAAATTTTTTTCTTTTAATACAAATCATATTTAAAAAAGTGTAGTTTAAGTATTGAAATTACTAAACACCTTTCATGATATTATATTCTATATCAATTAGCTCATTAATAATGTTTTGATAATTTTAATATAGAAACTATATTTTTTGTGCAGTTACTAAAAAGTCTTGAACTCTAATCATAAAAGTGTCATGCAAAAAGAATTGTTGGTAAATCAATTTGCAAATGGGAAGGAATTAGTATTAGATTTTTTGATCTTATACCTTAAGAACATAGGTTAAGGGTATAATAAATATATATTTTTTAATTAATTTATATAAAAAATAATAAAAGTTGACTTGAATGTAATTATTTGACTAATTAAAATGGTCCACTTGGCATTGTCACTAAAATAAAAGTTAACTTTTGTTATTTTTTATGTAAATTAATTATAAATGATATATTTATTACACCCTTAGATAAACTCTTTAACAAAAATTATTAAATGAGGTGATAATTTTTAAGATTAAAAGGAAGTGAGAAGCATATATATATATATAGAAAAAACTATATATATCTTGATTGGTTGATCACTAGTTTCCTTGAGGAAGAGTGAGTGACTGG